CTTAACCCCTCTACTTGAGCAGAGGTGGCCCTTGAGCAGCAGCTGCTCCCCGTCAACTTGCAGCAAGGAGGGAGGCAAACTGCTGTTGAACCCGGCGGGCCCTGTGAAACAGGCCCAAGAAGCAGGCCAGTGGGAAAGCCGTGAATTGCTGGCTGCGTTTCTTTTTTCGGGGATGACGCTGTTATCGTAGCGACGTGGTTGCCTGGCTTTGAGGCAGCCCTTGTTGCTTCGGCGCGTGCTGCAGCAGTGCATTGTGCCGCCGTGGGCTGGCACCGGTTGGCAGCCTCGCTGTCTCTCTGTGTTTTCCTCAGATCTAGGATTTTCTGATAAATTGCTCATCTGTATCTCTCGTTCACCAAAGTCAAGGTCCACAATGAGTTCAACAGCATTAGCCTGAACTACAGTGGAACCCTTTCGCCTTCCGCAAGCTGGTTAGAGCTTTCTCTGCAGACCCTTTAAACAGCGTGTGCATGCCCCAGAGGGCTGTGGCTAAGATTAGGGTTTTCTCTGTTGGGAGAATTTATTAAAAGACGCACCGGCTGGATGCAAGCTCAAGGAGCCATCTAGAAGTCTGTAGTTGCTGATTGACTTGGAGGTGAGCAATCAGCCGTGTGACCAGTTTCGCGACTGCAAAAGCGCTTTTCTGCAGCGCGTTCATCTTTTATGGTTTAAAATAGCAACTGAAGACCTGCTCGGTTCTTGTGCTACCTCAGAGCCGCTTTGGTTGCTGTGGCAATAGACCTTCGTTGAGCTCTTTGCTGTAAAACAAGCCCAGTTTACACGCGTGGAACTTTGATCACACAAATTGTGCAAAGGTGCGTTCAACTGCACCCTCAGGAGCGACACCTTGCTGTCGGCGTCCCGCGTTCGGCCGTTCGCGGCAGCGCTCTGCTGCTCGGAGGGAAGAGCTTTGCCCAAAGCCTCCCTGCATCAATTCTAGCATCAAGGAGGGAGAAAGCCTACACCCGAGCTCCAGCCATGCAGGTTAACACCGGGGCTGGGCATTCAGTATCGTCAGCAGTCCTATCGATCCCCCGCAGCGTTGCCTGCGCTCAGCTCCTGCTTTGGGCCGGCTCTGTCCTTCCTAAAGGTCCTGCTCGGAGCTGGAGCTAAGCTGAGTCCCCGGAAAGCGCAACAGCGCTTGCCAAGGCTGGGAGGCAAGGCTAAAGCATTTGGGAAGTTTGGGAAGGGATTTGTCCTGTCCTCCAGACACTGCTCTTGTAAGCTCTCCTCCTCAAGGAAGCTTGTGAGCATTTGTCCGGATGTCACGGCAGCAAGAACTTGTAAGTCACATAGGAGCGTCATGTGTCTGCTGGCGCCCAAGTGTGTGTCATGCTGCCCAGAGGGCCGTGGGAAAGGATAGCTTGACCTGGGGTTTGCCTGTGCAGGCGGTCGGAGCAAATGCTAGTGCGTCAGAGTGGGTCTGTGGCGTTTTACCAGGAGAAGAAAAAGTGATGGTGGGGAGCTTGGGTTTAGACGAGCTTTTTTTTTTCCCCCATTGAAAAATTTTGTAGCTCTGGCCTTAAAATAGGTGCCTTCAGTGGCGAACTTCAGCCAAATGCAGTCTGGCCAGTGGCCCACTTGAGCTGGGGTCGGTCTGGTTGGGCTGGTGCCGTTCTGGCTGTTGGTCCAGATGAGGCTGGTGTCCTGCCTCTGCTGGTGGCTTACTGGAGGTGAGAAGGGCCAGGACACTGCTGGTGCCTTTGGCAGGAGAACGGCAAGGCTATGCTGGGGCAACAAGGGCCCCGGGCCCGTTAGGTGGACTGGTTGTACTAGCAAAACATTTTTTTAAGTGTTTACTCTTATGGGAGGGGTTGGATTTCCTTGTGAAATGGTCCATGAACAATGGACCTTTGTTCAATGAACATATTTCTGTTGTGCAGAAATATGGGGGTGTAACTTCCTCACTGAGGGCCTGCTCCTGCACCCCTTCAATCCTGTGGGGACAAGCCTCTCTGAAAACATCTTGTGATGTGATCAAGGCAGGACCGAACTCTCTTTGGAGCACAGATAGCTCATCTTTCTTCACAAAAGCTCTGTGCTTCTCCGGAGCTGAAAGCAGTGTGCCTCTTGTGGAAGGCATTTCTGCTTTGTAGTCGGTCCCTGTCCTATCTCGAGTCCCGAACTAGTCAGAGCTTTCTTCTTCTCCCTGTTCTGAAAAAAATCCTAAAGGTGAAATATTATTAGGATTTTTCTTATTTGGACCTGCAGGGAGCAATTTCTCCTGAAAGCTGTTTGCCCTTGCTGAGGGCTATAATCCTTCCAATTGAGCAGCTCCAGTCTCAGAGCACCTCACCAGAGGGGTATCGCCGTGGCTCGCCGTGGGTCACGCTCAGACGTAGGGCAGTCTTGCATGACTGGTGCAAGATCACTGGTAAGATGTACCAGTGGTCTCCAGTGTGCGCCAGGTAGTGATTGCTGTAGCCTTTTGCACTTGGGCTAAAGGTGCCTTTGGCTCAGCGAGAGCAGCGTTAATTGTATCACAACCCTTTTACTTTAATATTGAGTTGACCACACTGGCTTTCCACATCACAGTAATATGGGAAGGAGGAAAATTGGTTTATGCACAGCATGTTCTAATTAATAAGTGCCTGTAGGTGAAGGAAAGATGACTGTGTCTGAAGTGTCTTTCCTTGTGAGATAGAGAGGCAGTTTGACATTTAATAGCATTGAGATAACGTTGACCAAGGGCTACTTAGGTGCGTAGTTTGCACTGTTGTGTACTAAGGCACTAAATAACTTTCTGAAGCTTTTTAAGCTTAATTTAAGATCACATTGAAGATAGCTAACATAGGCATTAGCTGGTAAAGAGGTGCTCACATGCCTCGTTCCCTGCAGCCCCTCTTGCCAAGCTATGCTGGAGAACGCAGTCTGAGACAACATACTGAGACTCAGGAAGATGCAGGCTCAGTCTCGGGCTGTGGTAGCGTCAGCGGAGAAGTGGCTCTGCCTTATGCGGGTGCGCTCGGCTTGCTGGGTGCATGCATGGGTCTCCTTGCTCCTGTGCCAAGCTCCCATGCCTCTACATGCTACTGGCAAGCAGCTGATCAGGAAGAGCACGGGGGAGCCGTGCAGCTGCTGGGAAACGCTTGGGATGGCAGCAGGAGACCACTTCTCTTGTTCCCATCACATACCTTAAAAGTCTGTCCCACAGATAATGCTGAAGATATTGGTAGTGGAGCGGCTACGTGCTTCACAGACAGAGACCCAAGTCTGTGTTGTACGCCTCATTTGCACCTTGGCAAGAAACTGTGCTGGTGACCTTTTGGAACAGTACAGCTAATAGCATGCTGGAGAAATATTCAAGAGTACTAAGCAGGACTGGGAAGGTTGAGGGTGGCTTCTTCATGGAGAGTGAGTCAAAACTGGGGAACAGATGTTTGCTGCAACGTGCCTCAATTAGAAAATGTTGCTGCTAAATAAAAATGTCTTGGAAGCTAGTCAAGAGCAAACAGCCCTGCCGTTGGGCCATCTTGGCTTGCAGCGCATCTGCTGGGGCCGGACTGGGCAGCAGATTAAAGCGAGAGCAGCTTAAAGGGCGAAGTGAACGGAGATGAAAGATGGGATCCCAAAAGGCAGGAGCGCTGCTCGGCCAGCAGCAGCCCGAGGAGGAAAAGTGAAAAATGTAGCTGCCCTTGAGCATCTTCTGGCGCTTATGGACCTGAGGGAGGGCTGTTGGGAGCTGGTGGCTCGGGAAGTGAAGGCATGTTCACCTCCTGGTTGGGGGTTGAAAGTGCCCCCTGCAACACCACATGTAATAACCTTCAGCCTGTGGGAATATTTTGGGCATTTGCGAGTGGTCTCTTGCTGCTCTGTGCCTTCAGATAACCTATCTGCCTGTGGACATGGGTGCTTATTCTAGTCCACAGTACAGTACAGTACAGTAGCTCCTGGGTCTTGGTTCTGATTCATGTGTCCCCATAAAAGCAGGATGGCTGGGTGATTATGGACCTAGCCCACGAGGCTTTCGCAAGGCTCCTCCAGGCCTCGGTGCCCACAGAGACTGTGAGACCATGTGCTGTCTGTGCGAGCAGTGGGTAGCCCACTGCTCTGGAGCTGCTGTGAATGCAGTGATTGCACTCAAAGCTTTTTTTGGGAGGTCTCCAAAAAAGCAATCTGTATTACAGAGTGTGCAGGAGAGGAAGACCTCATAATACAGCCTGGGAGGTTAAAGGGAAGGAAAAGGGTATCTGGATAGACCTGTGCAATTGGACGAGGCCAGCTTTGGGGTTCCTGAGAAAACCAGGGTGGGCTAAAGCTAGCCAGGTCCCAAGGATAGCTGCCGGTGCCCTTTTGCAGCATTAGCATTTCCCTGCTTGTGTCGGCAGCCCTTGGGGAAGGAGGCTGCGGCATTTATTGTCTGGTGTCCTCTAAAGCTTCACTCTCAGCCATCCCCTCTTCTCTGGAGGCCAGCTGGTGGGAGCACTGCTCAGAGCGGGGACGGCAGGTTTGTAATATTTGAGAAATAAAGAAACCATAATGTTTGAGTCCTTCCCGTGAGACCCTCTGCATTCCCAGAGGCTTTCATGTCTAACATGCACATCAAAAAGGGAAATGTAAGGGAAGAGATGAAAAGGAGGAGGTTGGGTAGAAGAACGCCTGCCAGTGCAGTGCCAGCCCTCAGCCGCAAACCCTGCATGAGCCCTGCGACGCGGCGAGCTTTGGCCAGGCTCTGCAGCGTCTGCAGCCTGGCTGTGACTGCACGTGTGCGGCTGAGGCTCGGGGGGACGGGGAGCATCGTCAGCTCCCCGTTCTGGCGGAGGCAGCAGATCCTGCAGGAGTACCACTTTCCCTGGTGCATCTGTCCCAGCGGGCGGGCACGCAGGCTCTGCATGCTCCTTGCGGGCACGGACGGGCAGGGGGGAGGAGAAGAGGAGAGGAAGGAGGGCTAGCAGGTAGAGGAGGCTGCTCCATGCCCTTTGGGGGCGGTGGGGACATGAGCATGTGGCTGTCCCCTCGGCAGCGTGAGGGCTCACCAGGCTCGCTGTCTTCGTTCGCAGGTGTACGAAAGCGGCAGCAACGTGGACCAGTTTGTGACCCGCCTCCTGCAACCAGACCCAGTCGCTGCTGAGCTCCGTGGAGAGCGCTGTCGACGCCATCGACGAGCAAACCAACCCGGCCAGGTCTGTGGTGCCTCCTGTCCTCTGGCCGTCAGACAAACCTGCTTGCTTTTTAGCTTGCCTTTTCACGTTTAGCTGGCTTGCACATTTTATTTTATTGCCAGGGTGGGGAAGAAGGAGGTAGATGCTGCTTTGATCCTTCTGTGGTCATCTTTTGGTAGGACAAATTTTTGTCAAAAAGTTGATTGAAGAACCTCAATGGGAAGCTCAGATTGGTGGACTGTACAGGCAAAGGCCAAAAAGACAGAAGATGCCAAAAACTGAGAAGTTTTGGTCCAAATAGCCCCTTCTAGACCTGTGCTTTGCATGTGCTCTCAGTCCGATGCTGCTTGAGGGTTGCAGACTCCAGGGCCAGCGGGCTCTATCGGGGCAGGTCCCCGCTCTGGTGTCCATCAGCATGGCTCGTGTCAGGGGAGGGAAATTGCACGTGATGAGTGTCTGTACAGGAGTGATGAGGGAGCCCAGGGCACGATCCCCACCATGGTGGCCGGCCCATTGGACGGCCTGAGGACGCTGGGCTGCACAGCTCTGTCTGCTGGGCTGTGGTGGCTGGCTTTACTGACATGGAAGTGGAATAGTCACGGTCGTCTTTTGGTAAGAAAAGAAATAATGTTGCAGCAAATGAGAGCACCTAAGATGGAGTGCTCGCGAAGAAGCGTAATATTGGCCATTTGCCTGCCGGGACAGTATTTCTATCTGTCTTTTTTATTAACAAATAATGATTTAAAAGAAGGTCGGAGGAGCCTGAAGCTACATCTCATCCTGCTTTTCTCTCACCTTCCTCTCTGCTTTGCACGTGTCACATCTCTGTTGACCTTGGGACACCTTTATCACACACTTGAACTGGCGAAGGCGGTAAAATGCAGTGACCTGTGTTTTCCTGGTGTGCCTCTGAGCTCAACATTTGGGGCTGTTTGATTGCTCGTGGTTAGTCTTATCTCAGCGCTCCTCCCTGCACCCCTTTCCCTCCTCCCAGGGCCTCAGGTCCTTTGGCACCTACTGTAAGCCTTTTGGTGGCACCACCAAACCATCGTCCTCCTCTTTGCTGCTCTGCCTGGCCTCCTCGAGCGCCCTCAGGGCTTTCCTCCGCTGCTCTGTCCTGACCTCCTTGCCCTGGCCCTAACACACAGCCTCAGGTCCCCTCTCCATCCCTGAGCCGTGCAAGGGGAGATGCTCCGGTGGGTTTCCAACCCAGGAGACAGCACCAGGCATCTCCTCCACCTTTGCCCTTGAGGATCCCCACTGAGCTTTGCTCAGCGCCGTTATCAGCTCATCGTAGTTCATTCGCTCACAAAACTTTTCGGCTGCGACCGAGGCTGGCAGCCAGCCCACCCACCGCATTGCCAAGGCGGCTTTGCGGTCTGCAGCTGCTTTGGGAGGTTTTCAGACTTCCTCTCTATGCTGTTTATGTGCCACTGCGGTAACCCCTGCTCTTACAAAATGCTGATATCTAGGATCCGGATGGGAGACGGTCACAGAGAAGTGGCAAAAAGGAGGCTGAAAGCCCAGGCAGTGGCAGTACGGATCGGTACGGGTATCCTGTGCTCCGTCTCGGCACAGTCGGGGCTCCCAGCAGAGGCGACTGACCTCCTTCGCTCTCGGCTGGGGGCTTTCGCACATCCAGGGCATGCTCTGAGTTTGGAAAAGGCAGAGGAGACGAGTTTCAGGATTTCTTTTCTCAAAGGCAGTCAGAGCTAAAAAGTACGGGGACGTCCAGAACCGTAGCCCAAACCTCAGCCCAGCCTTCCTGCTTGTTCAAATGTCACTCGTCTCCCTGGAGTATCGAGATCACTGACTGTAACCAGGACACGTTGCCATAGGAACTGTTTCGGGACTATCAGATGCTCATGAAGAGAATCTGTTTCCTGCCATATCTGAAAATCAGGAAGTCGCAAGGGTGCTTGTAGAGTGCATTATTTTCAATACATTGCAGATCAGCAGATGGGAGCGGGGCACCATCTCGTGTGTTGTAAATAGGGCGCCGCGGTTGTGCGCCTGTGGTGGAAGGGGGGGGGGGGGGGGGGGGGAGTGCGAGCAACTTTTCTGTGTTGCTTTTCCCATCTCTTTTTGATCAATTTGAATGCTGAGGGAGATCTGTCAATAGCCAGGCTCTTCTGAGCAACTTGCAAATGCTCTACATATACCCCAAAAATAAATGGGCACTGTCCCCTAGCTGCTGGGGCGGGGGTCAGTGGGCCGAGCTCGCCCTGGACGGTCCTTTTGTGTTTCCAGGTAGCTATTTGCCCTTGCAAAACCTTGAAATCCACCCTGTCTGCTTTGTATCTCTGAATCCTTTGGCCGTTTAGTTACATGGGTACCTGTTGCCTGGGATTTGGGGGCATCCTGGATTTCCAGTGCGCAGCACGCCCCTGTAGCCTAGCCAAAACCTGGGCCAGCTAAATCCCACTTCCCTTTTTACCTCCTACATGAGCACAGGAGAAGCAGACCTGCCTGTGCCGAAATGTTTTGTTACAGGCAGATCTTGCCATTCAATGAGAACAGCCCCTTCCTGACCTGGTGGCTGGAGACTGTAGCTAATGCCGTGCATCATGCAAGCGGAGGGGAGAAGCAGCAGCTTGCCGGGCTGCCGACCTTTCATTTAATAGGAGGAGCAACGCGTCCACTGTGCTTTGGGTTTTAACCTCAGTAAACACATCCGGGCTGCCAGAGCAGCAAACTGGTCTCGTGGGAGCCGTTGGTGTTTGGGACACGGGGATGCAGTGCCGGCAGCGCAGCGGCGTTTGAAAGGGAACCGAGAGGATGCACCGAGCGCCCTGGGCTCCGGGACTCCGGAGAGCCGACGGTCATCCAGCAGCACGCTCACTTCCCTGGGCCGCAGGGTAGGAACGGCCGGCTTCACGTTTCGGGTTTCTCTCCTTTCCCCAGCTGGCTCTGCCCCATAGAGCAATCTTGGCCTTCACAATACGTGGCCAGCCCACCCGTAGGACGCAAACCGAAGGGGCACAGGGGCCTCTTCTCTCCCTCTCCCATCCCGTGCTGCTGCCGAGATTTTCCTTTTGCAGCTGCCTCTGGGCCTGGCTGAAGCAGACGCTGCAGCAGCAGGGCACCCTCCTGGCCGGCGCACAGCCGGTGCACCGTGGGATGTCCCCCTCTTGCCTCCGTGCCACCTCCCAGGCAGCCACCAAAAAAGAAAAACAAATTTGAAAAACCCCCAAAGCTCCCTGGATGCAGCCCTATCCCAAGCTTGTCTCCAGTGGCTTTGCCAAGGATGGGCAGAAGAAAAAAGAAGCTTCTGGCCTTGCCTGCTCTTGCAGACACTTGGCTTGCAGTATGGCTCTTGAGTCCCAAGGCGACCTGCGCACGCTGTTGCCAAGATGAAGCAGCTCTAAATCAATGATGCTAAGAATTATTTGCAGTAAAATGACCTTGCCTGCACATTCAACACCTGAATGGACTTGGGCAGCTTGGACAACATCTCGGGAGCCTTCCTAGGTGCAGGGCTGTTGGCTTCATGGACCCTCATTGGTTTCTTCTCATTTTGGCCTGCCCCAAACCCTCATGTAAGGCACAAGGCAAAACAGATGGGAGGAGTAAGGGCTGGTTGGAAACAATGGGGAGGAAAACAATGGGGAGTCCAACTGCGGATGGAGCAATTAGAGCTGGTGAAAGACTTTGCTTTCTTATATTTACCCATGGGTGGGCCCTGTACATAATGAAGAGTATTGTGGTTGTTTTCTCATGGAGATAATATCCCTCCACCCCCTGCCAAATTATCTCACTTGTCAGCACGAAGACAAAGAGACGCCCAAAAAGCACAGAACTAGAGGCTTGTAAAATGCAGCGCTGGGAGAGCAAGGAGCGCAAGCCGGAGACACCTCATTAAACTGTGATTAAAAAGAAACCACTGTCTGTTCTTGCATAATTTCCTGCCTATTGGCAGGGGATTATTCACTGCCCAACAGCGGGCTCATCGCACATGCCGTAGGGACGTGCGCACCCCTCGCCCCCCCCGGACCTTTTAGCACCGCTCTCGCCTCATTGTCTTGGGGTGCCACCTCTCAGGACGTCTGCTTGTCACCTCCCTCCGAGAGCACGAGATGGGAGGCTGCGAGCCGCCACGAGGTCCTTGGAGAGCTGTAAGCGGC